AAGAATGAGCAGCTTTTGCAAAATGTTCGCGTGAAACTGCAGACTGCCATCAAGGTGTGGGTGCCTATCATATCCATCGGCGAGAGGGCTTTGGCTTGGACGCTTCAAAGGTTGCCCGACCTTCTCCCAGCAACGGCCGATCACGAGAGCAAGCTTCGCGAAAGCCAAACTGTGGCTGACACGCTGGCTGTCAAGATGCTTCAATCCGATGACAAGGCCGCCACGATGAGTAAGCTGCAACTCGGATGCAGAAAAACCATGTAGCATGCGCCAAGCTGCGTTGCTTAGATTTGCTTAGCGGGCTTCTGCAGGCCAAAAACAATCGGAAAGCTTCGCCAGCAGAAGCTGGCGGCAAGGGAACATTTGAAAGCTGTTCTTCACGTTGTCTCTTTGCTGGAGCTTCACCTCCAGCCTCCAACTCCGCTTCTCCGACCCGTGAACCCCCAACAGCTTGAACGGCGGGAGTACTACGATGGCAGAGCGTACATCACCGACGAGAGAACTGGTGCAGCCATCTGGAACGACATTCCTGTTGAACAAGCACCTAGCCTCGTGAGACTTGTGCTGTGTCCCGACGAGGGCTCGCCGCTTTATAGCGGTTACCAGTTCCTCGCCCAACGCGGCCTCCCACTTGCTTTGTTGAGGGACGAGCTGCAACTTGGCATCCATCAAAAATGCTCGAGTAGGCAATGTTGTAGGGGCATTTTGTCTTAGGCTCTGTGTCCACTGAAGTTTCCGATCTTCCCCTGCTGCTGCCTAGTCAAATATGTTTTCTCGTGGTGTTGCTCCTTGACTTGATCTGCTGTATTTCTGCCTGCACACGGCATGCCTATGCCTTACACAAATCTTCATCTCCCTACCTGGATGCACCACAAACAGTCTTGACTGCTAGACGGAACACACGGTCTCGCTCATTTAGCACAGGTCTGTCTATGCGTCTGTGTCTGTCTGTGGTCAGACTGACCGCTACATCTCTGCCTCTTGAGGGTCGAAGTCTGTTTGTGGTGCTGCGGACAAGTGCCATTAAAGATGAAGTGTCACTGTATCCAAGACACAAGCTCCACGCGCATCTGGGGCACGTCTTCAATTGCTGTCCGGGAGTAAAACGATCCTCGACCGCAAGGAGCTCCTGGTGCATCCTCTTTCAAAACTAGCGATACACTTAACTTTGTTTGCGAGCACAATCTGAGGCATGCACGCTCTGACGTCTTGGCTGATGAAGTCACGTCGCTCACCTTGGGGAACCGGAAAGCTAGGTGCTTCCTGGCAAGAGGGTGGAAAGCGATATTTGGAGATCGACGCCGGGATGCAGATGTTTTGAAACAGGGGCGCCTGCAGCCTCAATGTTGAGCATTTCTGCAGTCTTGCGAGTCGAATTGAAATCTGAGGCCGAGCAAGACGACATGCTTCAACAACTCTTTCAGGAGCCCATCCTGGCAGAGACGCTTGGGCAGAACAGTGAAGCGAGAGTTGCGGTGGTGTGTCAGGTCTTCTCACGTGCAGCCTGTGAGGAACGGGTTTTCGATGAGCATGGACCCAGCCTTGAACTTCCAGAGAGTCGTGGAATGCTTGGATGCTGTGACGAGGTGGACGTTAGCGAGCGAGGTTTGTGTGGTGATTAATTACTTCCCTTGCTTTGTTTGCCCCATAGGCGCCAGGGCCCCATTCACGACAAGAAGCGATGGTGCGCATGGTCCTTCAATGCCGACGGGTTCCAGAAGAAGTACTCATCGACTTTGTTGTTGGTGATGTGGTCTTCCATAGAGGACGGGCCCCAGTTTCATTCTTTTGCTGCGAAACCAGTCTCATGTTTGTGAGGAAGGCAAGAACCCTTTCTTCGTGGAGAAGAAAGATGAAGAGGGCAAGAAGGGAGATTTCGACAGAATCCTGGAGCTCTGTGTCAAAGAACCTGGCTCTGCAAGACAAAGAAGCACATCTTCTCATGACATGTCTGGCATCCGCCCAGGCTCTGGTGGATGAAGAAGCTCACAGTTTGTTTCAGACGCTGGCCTTGATGACGAAACCGTTTCGAAGCCTCACCATCGACCTCGTGTCTTGACTTCATGATTTATGACCGTGGCACTCAGCACGCTTTGCATTTGCTTGTCTCACTTAGCAAAAGAACGCCAACAAGCTGATGGCGTCTCATCGGCACACCCTCTTCATGAACGGGCCCGGCTTTGGGCACATGCTCAGCGAGACGGTTTCAGAGGGTCTCGGATTCCAAGGGATGGCTAAGCTGGGCCTGAAAGTGGACTTGGTGGTTCAGGCTGCAGATGACAACACGCAGGCCAGGGTGATGTTAGCATGTGCTTTTTCTGTTTTAAGAAGACGCGGTTTTGGTTCTACTGCTACGAAAAGCGGTGCCACTGAACTCTGACAGCTGATGCTTCTCAGCAGCAGTTTCTGTGTCAGTCTTGTGTGAGTCAGAGCGGCTTTGACTTGGTCCGCCCCCAGGAATAGCATTAAGCCCTAGACCCTAAACTCAAACCCTAAACCCTAAACTCAAACCCTGCACCCTAACCCTGAGCCAGTTCAGGTCCCATTCTCAAACCCTGAAACAGCCCCAAACCGGGCGGAGAAGCACAGACTGCCGCTCCGAAACTTAGACCCATAATCCTTACTTTGGGGTTAAGGGTTTAGGGTTTAGGGGTTTAGGGCTTAAGGGGTTTAGGGGTTTAGGGGGTTTAGGGTTTTAGGGTCAGGGTTTAAGGTTTAAGGGCTTAGGGCCTTAGGCTTTAGGGGTTTAGG